GGCGGTGTGGAGGACGGTGCCTGCTTTGCCGTGCAGCACGTTGGGATCCGCGCCCTTGGCGAGGAGCAGCCGGACCATGAGGGCGTTTCCGAAGCGCACGGCTTCCACGAGAGGCAGGGTGCCTGACGGGCCCTGCGGTGTGTTGACGTCGACGCCGGCCAGTAGGGCCTTTTCGGCCGTCAAGACTCGTCCGTGCTTGGCGGCCCAGAGGATTGCGCTTGTCTCAATGTTGGGGGCGGTTGCGTTGTGTCGGTAGAGGTAGTCTACCGTGAGGCTGTAAAAGCCCCGGCTGGTGCGGCAGAGGGCGTAAATGTCTCGGTCTCGATCAAGGGCTTTGGCGATGTGTAGCAGCAGCTCCGTTGGCAGATTGGCCAGTTCCATGGCTGGCCTGGAGCCGGCACGGCATTTGTAAAGTTAGGCTGGCTGTTGGTGAGGAGAGCAGGATGGGGATTGTTGTGGTCGGCAAAGGATGACGATGTGACACTGCCGTCGGAGTTGGAGATTTCTCCGCATCTTACGGAGTATAATTTCCTCTTTCGGACACTGTACAGACTTTGGCACACCTTCTCTGCATTGGGCACTTCCGTCGGACAGCCCGACATGGGGACATGACAGCTCTAGTTATGCTTGAAGGTAGTTGCGACATGGTGAATAACTCTGGTGGAAGCTCCCGGGACACTGGATGCTTCGCAAATTTGGGCGAATTTGGCCCTTGCAGCTTGAAGACAGGGGCAGCTGCGGCGGAAGAAGCCATTGACAATAGGTGAACTGTACAAATTCCACAGGCAGAAAGTGAATGCGGGGAGACCTTTGTTTAAAAAAAACTTGCTAGAGCATGGAAGAAACGGAGATGCATTTCGAAGCCTGGGCGGGCTTTTTTCTGCAAATGCCCCGGTCGGCAGTTGGCCTTGTCCCATTTTGACACGGACGCCGACAGCGATTGGCTACATGCAAGAGAGACAGGGGCGTTAGGGGCGGACCGGTCCGTGACCTGAAGGCGGCTTGGCATTTCGGATCACTAAGAACTTGGTGTCCTCTTCTAGTATTGGCAAGAGGAGAGACGGACTCCAAGTGGCAAACTTCCCAATTAAAATATAGTAAAGCTATGTAGCGTGTACTGGAATGCATCTTGGAAGCGAGGAAATTAGCAAAAACGCACAAGCATTTTGGCTAATTTGCCTCATAATTAATGGGAAGTTGAGGGCCAAGCAGAATGACAACGATCCTGATGAAAATAGTGTGGCTTTGCAAGTTGACCTCACTTCTGTTCTACTCATCCTCATTATGAGTTAATTCATGCAGCGGCAGATCAGGATATCGACTAAATGTCTTGTTCTGTTAAAGTCGTACAGGGTAATCTGGCGTATGTTGCTAAAGCAGCTTTCTTCCCCCAGTCCCAACCGTGCCTGCCACAGTGAACAGATCAATTGATACCAGACTACGGTGTGTCATCTTTGGCTGGGGGCTTCCGCCACGCTGTGGCGACAACCCTTCCCAGGACGGCAACTGACGAGACGGCAGGCTCGTTATCCCCATCCAGCACAGCTGCTCAGCTATGCTGGAAAAGATCCCGAGAATGTGCAAGTCAAGAGTTAAGGTCTTTGCGGAAGGACCACTGTGTCGCACAGTCTAAGGGGTACTAACACGCGAATACGGGTGGCGTGGCCACGTCCATTTTTTGCTGTGATACACTGGGCAGAACCGCTCCCGTAACTTCGATCTTTGGGATTCTGGAGTTGTCTGCCTGCGAGAAGAAGCGGCAAGGTCGGATAAAACCTCAAAAGGCAGCAACTCTGCGCACACATGGCCATCGGGGCCTTGAGCATTCTTGCATCGTGGGCAATGAAGGGCTGGTACAGCTTGTCGCCTGAGAAGGGCGGACCGCACATTCAACCAACGAAAGCATCGATATGTGACGCTCTCGGAATATTTTGAGTCCATTTTTCGTGTCTTTGGAGCTCCTTGAGTCAACTGCACCCCAGCGAACCAGTGCTGCTCCCTGGCTGTTATAGGGACAAGGGGCATGACGGATCTCTATCTGATGGGGGTCCTCTGCTTTTGGAAGCTCAACACTAGATAAACGGACCGAAATTGATGTCGAGTCTGCACCTAACTAATTACTGGGAGACGAAGTTCCTTTGCGCCCTAAGCAGCAGATACTCCTCCTTACTAACATATAGTACACCAACCGCTTCCTGTTCTATGAGAATCGACAAGAGAAATGACAGTCCAAACAAGTGCAAGCGCCTTCTCAGGCTGTACTTGTCCAGATCAGATCATCTCGCATCCAACCCTCAGATCCCCCAGTCAAGGGCTATGAACAACTCGGGCAATCACTACAGCCTTTAATACATGGACATGCTCTATCACGTCGTTCTTATTATTCTACAGGTACAACTGATTAGGCATCGGATTGTGTGCTCGGTTCATGATTGGGAAACAATATTGAGGTGACATTCCCGGCGTTTCAGCAACAGCAATTGCCCCCCGTGCCTATCATGCTAAAACCTCCGAATTTCTTCGTCTCCTAATCCAAGGCTAAAAACAAATCCTTGGTTTTCCTCGAAGCCTGGGTGACTAAAGAGCTTTATTATACAGGAAATGGTGCGAGACTTTTGCCCTAGGTCTCATGATCGGAGCCCTCATATAACAGTGTCATAATAAATAACCTCCGAACCATATCGTCAAGATCGCAACTATTCATCATCTGGCCAGTTTTCTTATCAATAAATACAAAATTCTCCTTCTTAGACGGCAAGAAATCTACTTCCCAGATTCTCGCACATTGGCGCAGATCTCCAACAACCACATGACATTCCACCAAGTTTTTGAACTGCCAGTCTTGGAATTCTGCAGCATCCCACAAGTCATTCTGAATGTCCTCTTACTCGAACTTGAGCCGGCGTATACGGGATCTATTGAGGAAAAGAAAACTGAGAGGACCTAAGCCAACGTCGAGCATGTCCAGGTCAAAATTGACCCAGACGTAGCATGATTCGGTTTCTTCGAGGTAGAATAACTTCTCATATGGGCTTTGCTTGCGACTTTCTCGACAGGCATGTAGGACTGCTGGCACAGGTGTCGGCGAGAATAGGTGCTCGATGCACAGGGCGGGATAAAAATCGTAGTCTTCAGGATCCATGTCTTCATGGCACTCGGCTGTGATTTGAACATTACGAGGCTCGGCTGCCAACGCCCATACCATAGCACGAAGTTCGAATGGTAGACGAGGGAAGGGATGAAAAGTGGCCATGCTGGAACCAGAGATGCCACTCGACGTGGGACGGTAACAACTGTGATGGTGTTGGGGGATTTTGGTAGTAGGAAAGGACCAGTGTGAAGAGAAAAGAAAAGAAGTTAAGAGAGAAAAGAAGAAAAGAGTTGGGGTGTTTATAGTTTGAGTAGAATAATATTGCGCTCGGTGGTGGTGACTGAGGCCCCCAATGTAAAACTGTACGCATAGTCATGTACCACGCACTTTTTTATCCGATGGGCGAGTGGCGGCTGTCAAGCAGCTGGCAGCTTCGCAGCCTAAGGTGGAGGAAAATAGGAAAATCTCCGGTAGTGCAGGTTGTCAAGTCTCTTCATCACAGAGGTGACCTGTTCAAACTCTAGCCAAGAGTACTGAAAATGGCAGATTGACGTCTTCGAATCCTTCGGTTATCCCTACACGCGATCCGTTACTGCCGGAACAGTATTCAGCTGCAACATTTCTTGACCTGGAACAATAAAGCCGCTGATTGAAAGGCATTCCAGTTGACGCGGAGCAAACTATTCCAGCAAAGCAGAAGTCCAACGAGCTGGCAATGAAGGCTGCCTCTGCGTTTGTACATGCAGTGAATTTACTCGCAGTGAAGCTATGCCGGCAGGTCTGAGCTTGAGACTTTTCTAAAATCATGATTGACACTTCAGAGTGTTTGAATCCATAATAATGCTAACCGATTTGCGTTATCTTTGCCTAGGTGCATTCGTTATTGGGATATCCCTTTTCAAGAAACCACCTCGTTATTTCGAACCCTAAGCAACCTTTGTGCCGCGTCTGGAAGGGCATGCCGGATTCATGTATTCCATTGCCTACGATGATAATAATATGAAGATTTTCAGGCTAAATTGAATCTGCGCTATAAGAAACGAGATAATACCCCGAGTTCAAGCTGAGTTATAAATGGGAGAGCATCAGTCACGCATTGAGGGACTGGTATTTGAATATCAACCACTAATCCCAAGAACAACGATTCAAGCACAATGTTGCTATGAGCTTGAAGTAAACTAGTCTTGATGGGAATAGATGGCTCGCCAGTCCTGGTATGCTACCTGTCCAGCGCCGTGACCTTGCGCAAATACAACTAATTTCCTTCACTTCTTGAGGCTTCAATCTGCAGAAGGAATATTTTATCTGCCCTGAATACTAAACTTTGAAATGTTCGTAAGTATGCTATACACACCCCTTTTACTGCGAAAATGCTGACATTCTGGCGCCGTAGGAATTCTGGCCAAAACAGATGGCCAGATTCTTACTTGTCTACTTGACGGTATACCACTCGCCATGCACTCTCGTTACCTTTATTTGGACTGGCCGCTCTCCACCTCCATCTCTCTAAACCACGGATCAGACAAGATTTCCACAGGCGAGGGTCTGTTGGCAGGATCGTACTGCAAAATCCTCCGAATCAACGACTTCACTTGGCGCCCTTCCTCCTCATCAAGATCCGGGCATGCCTGATCGAACCAGTCCTCCATGGACGTCTGCTCCAGCATGAGCGGTTCTCCGCCTTTCGCAACCCCTCCGAGCTGACAATTAAATAGCTCCCTCCCAGTGAAATAGAGCGTCGACGTCTTCCAGTGCGTAAAAAGCTCATCGGGTCGGGCGCCGAGCCTGGCAGTAAGAGAGAGGAGATGGTTGTCATCTTCAAACTTGGAGCCTGGTACACAGAAGAGCGGTTGTCCAGTGATGAGCTCAAAAATGAGGCAGCCAAAACTCCAGATATCAAGGGTTTTATTGATGGCGCCGGTAAGAACCAACTCGGGAGGCCGAAGTCCGAGAGGCGTAATGGACTTTGTTGGCGGGTTCGTAAAGAAGTATGCTGTTTAAAGCGTAAGTAGACATCTATAAAGAGAGGTCGTCCGCCACCAGAGGTACTAACCGCCACCCATGTCGGATAATTTAATCTTGAAGCCTTTCTCATACTCGGTAAAGGGCGCCAGCGGCTGCGCGATACAAAGATATCGAGGCGCCCACTTGTCTTGTTTGCCGTCCAGCCTCTGCACTGGCGGCGAGATTGACTCGGTTTGCACATTTTCCTCTTGACGCAGCGCGTCCTCGGGTTGCATGTCGATATTATCCACAGCGAAGAGCATGTTTCCCGGCTGAAAGTCTCCATGAGCGATACCATTCTCGTGAAGAAATGCCAGTGCTTGTAATGATTGCTTGAGGATGCTCTTTGCCATCCGAATCGGATAGCGAACCACCATCCCCCACAGTCGAGGTTTGAACTGGGGCAACTCCTCGACCATGGTATTCACACTCGGGCCCATGGGCTCAAGTACCAGGCACGTATGGACACCATTGGGTCCGCGGTGTTCAAACTTGTCTAGTAGCTGCGTGATATGCTGGGCTGCCTTTGCTGGTGCGGCTTTGACAATGTGGTGCAAGATTTGCAGCTCAGCTGATGCCCGGTTTGCCGAGACAAGAATCTTCAAGGCGACATATCTAGAGTCTCTGGGACGAAATAAGTAACGAGGATAAATAGAAATGGCGGTAGTTCATGCAAAGGTGGCCTTACTTCAGGTCACGAGCCAACCACACAGTTGAGTAAGAGCCCTCGCCGAGCTTTCGAATCACCTTGTACTGGCCATCATTGAACATGTCGCCGAGCAAAACGGGGTGGTAGCCACCTGGGCGGTAGTCCTCCACCCACTCGCAAGGCGAGGTAATTGTTTTGAACCTCCATTCATCATCTTTCACAGGCCCTGTTGGTGGTGTGGGAGGACGGGATGCGCTCATGCCTGTGGTAGAGGTACGTTGTCCAAGAGGTGCCTGGTGTGATCTTTTGAAAGAGATGCAACATGGTAATGGGAGAGTCCGAAATCCTGTGAGACTGGATAAGTAATTAAAGGAACGGGAGAAGCTACATGATGGCACATACTCGAACCATGACTAAGAACCTAGTGTTAAAAGTATATATGCCTAACTT